TCCCTTACTACATGCCAAAGAGTACCCATGCTAGTTCTGAGTCTCTTTCCAGAGCTTTTGGGGTTTGAATTTTGGCATCCAGTCACCACTGAAATCCTTAATGGTATGGTTTTGCATCATTACAGCTGAAATGGCTTATATCTCAACTTATTTTCCACTGAGAAAGGAGCTGAGGATCACGACATCTAACAAACAGACATGGTCTTACCATTTAACAAGATAGTCCATCTGTGTTTCCATGTTACACTCCTGTATGATAATTATGTTATACTCCTGCAACATTGTGATGCAACATACAATCATGTCTTCTATTTCTGACTCTCTTGCACTTAATGTGCATTGAGTCGGGATTGAGGGATCCATCTATCTTGCTGTTTGGCAAGATAAGGGCAATTCTTGTGGAAACTCCTGCAGTCCATAATCATAGCTGATGTTTGGATCCTCCTTTCTGAACTGACTTCTGCTTGAAGGCAATGATGCATTTACTATGGCCCAAATTCAAAGAAGGACCTAGTTAACTCTGTTCATTCATTAGAAACCAACTTATTTGTACAACAACACTTTGAGGTGTTGACTCAACTCTTTTGCTCAGTGGAGACAGAGTTAAAAGCATTGTCTTGAGCAGCGTGGATCATATTCAGAGGAACCATGACAGCTGCTGCCATTAATTTCCTCTTTTACTGCAACTTGTTCAAGTTGGACACTTTTAAACTCATCACCACTGATACAACCTCAGTCAAGGTATGAATGTTTCACAATCCTAAGTGATACCTCATGGTCTAGCTTGGTTGTCTCTCAACGAAGTTGTCAACAAGGCTATCCTCATGATCTGGCAATGTCATTATAGGATATGATTTGCTATGCAAATAGTGTATATCTCTCCTAGGTGGGATCACAGTCCACATTCGAATTGACAGAATATTATTATAATGGGGTGCCATTAAGTGAGAGTGATCTGTCAACCAATACTCTGGCGAGCGTCAGCTCCAAATCAAGGGATTGCTGAATGACATATTGTTGTCCTCATCTCATCTATGGGTCCTGCTGGACCATAGGTTACCCTATGGCCCATGATTGCTTCGGCAAATTGCTTCCCTTTTCTAGGAGAGTCTCTATTGCCTTACAATTCATTCCCCTTCTCTGTGAGCACTTGCTGCATAGCTAGTTAGCTCATCCATCAAAGATGCATTGCCACTGACTCTTGTGGTGGCTGGGTGCCTCTCTTCTTGGAGATGCTCCCTCTTACCAGTTGCCGTCATCATTGGCAATAGCCTGCTGTCTTGTCTTGCGATTGTAGTTGCCATCTACCAGCGACCTCTTGCTCCTCTTCATAGAGAAATTCCACGCTTCATACCTGATTATCCTTCTCACCTTCACCTGTGAGTGCTGGCCGTGTCACCCGTTAGTGAAACAGATTCTATTAGTGTCACCAAGTATTACAGCATGTTTCACCTTTAGCATTTCACTGACATTTCACTTCTATAGTTTAGAGTACCAGTCCTACTTTAAAAAGTACCTTAACGGTAAACTAAAAAATAATGAAAATCTGGATTTAAAATACATGTTTTGATGACTTATGTAACCCATTTTCACTACATTTTTCTTTGTTATAATTGTTACTTTTGAGAGCTGAAAATGTTTTGTTTAACAAGTATATTTGTTAAAATCTTCAATGTTTACCACTTCAGCTAAAATTTTTATTAGTCATATAATGTGATATTTAAAACAGTCAAGACGTGACCCAAAATTTCATCGCCATCTAAAATAACGCTTACAACTTATTTTAATTGATAGTTTATGCTCACAAAAGGGGAAAGGAGAGGCGATAAAAGACCTAGGTTGTGCCTCAAATCTAAAAAAATATCACCTAAGCGCCGCTAAAACCTAACTGCAGTTTTGCATGTATATAATTAACACATAATACAGATAAAGTTTACGATAAAGAATTTAATGCAGTTATCTTTTTTTGGTTTCTTTGTTTGTTTGAAGTTAAGCGCAAAGCAACACAAGGGGCTATCTGTGCTCTGCCCACCATGGGTATCGAAAACCGTGTCTAGCATTGTAAATCCTGAAACATTCAGCTGTGCCACTGGAGGGCTATAGATATCTAACCATCTAATTCTTTTCATAAAAGTAGGTAATTATATATGTCTTCTCAAAATCAAATCCTTAATCATGGTATTTTCTCGCAGTGCAGTATAATCGTTATTATACATTAAAAGTTAATGTGTAATAAATAAACATACAAATAAATCAATAAAAACTTTGTTACCCTTTGTTTTAAAATAAAAAATCCATTGAAATCATTTTCAGATTCGAGAAAAAACTATTCAGAGTGTTCAGTTTACTCAAATCTACTAGTAAGTGGCCGATGTAGCTATTATTGTCCTTATTAAGAAAACAAAAATAACTTTTTTTTTTTTTTCAGTGTGATGATTTGACATAACATTGATGTCTTGGAAAACTAAACCCTATCATCACCTGATTTCACAATTGGAGTAAATATCTTGATAGAGAGATTTTTAGTAGTGCTCTAACTTACTTATTAGTTTTGGTTAAATTTATTGGGTTTGGCCTTTTGCTCAGCATAATATCTTTGAGCTCGATATTATGTTGGTGTCTCTTTTTTCCCATGTTTTATTGTAGCTTATATGGGCGTATTTCTCAGTCCTTGTTCAGGTACTAACATAAGGCGTTGTATATTATATTTTTTTATACAGACTAACAATAACAGTAGTTTTATAAGAGTTTTCTATAATTCAGTTCTACTGTTTCGGATAAAATACATTTTCTCTGCTTCAGACAATTCCTCGTCCAATATTGATTCACAATAATAACTTCGACGTTTCCAAGGCAACCTATTTGTTATCTTGAATTGTTGGTATGTTCGCTAATATTATTTTTTACCTGAAATGTACGCTGTTTCTTAAGTTGTCACGAAAAGTGTTGCTATAATATAATCTACCAATTTTCCCTCTTATTTTTTTCTTTCTCGTTGAAAGATTTGTGTGTGTCCATTCTGTGCTTTCAAATACATTCTTTTCAAATCATTATAATTCTTTTCCAGCAGAAATCTTACCGATGTACGGTATTCAGAGTGAAAAAAAAAAACATCAAAAAACCATTAGATTGACATATTCTGATGTCAAAATTGTACATTATTAACTTAGTTCGTATAAGTGTACAGATATAGTTTCAAATTTTCTTTGTTATATATTCATTTGAAGGTGAGTTATTACGGTACTGGACTTAACTAAGTCACTTCGACGTTTGGCTCGGCATGGCCAGGTGGTTAAGGCACTCGACTCGCAATCTGAGGGTCGCGGGTTCGAATCCCCGTCACACCAAACATGCTCGCCCCTTTCAGCCGTAGGGGCGTTATAATGTGACGGTTAATCCCACTATTCGTTGGTAAAAGAGTAGCCCAAGAGTTGGTGGTGGGTGGTGATGACTAGCTGCCTTCCCTCTAGTCTTACACTACTAAATTAGGGACGGCTAGCGCATATAGCCCTCTTGTAGCTTTGCGCGAAATTCAAAACAAACAAACAATCTTTTCCATTCCACTCCTGGCACCAATTTCTTACGTATCTACTTGTTTGTTTGTTTCCGGTAGAAATTATTTTCCCGAAGATCTTCAGCGATACAAGTTCTTTCTTGATTAAACCAGTTTATTCTGCCTTGATACAAACTTTTAGTAAACAGAGTTCCACAATCAGTACGTTTCTCGTTACTTTGAACTTAACAACTTTTATAATACACGCTATAAATCACAGCAATTCACAATCTCGAATACTTCGCTCTCGACGAGTGCATAACACACACTTTACGGCTCATTAGCTCGAAACTAACAGAATAATAAATTACACGAAACTCAAAGTAACTACTGCTTTCTCTTCATACATATATCTATCTGCTGGCTTTCTCTGCCAGGCTTATATGCTAATGAAGAAGGCAACTTGAGCACACTCGGACTTCCCCGGACATTCGAGAAACTCATCACGCACGCTACTAGCGCTTATTCGCCAGCAGCGTCACGTGACTTCCGCTGTCATTACAAAAGTGAAATGAAAATGTGTGTAGACCTGTAAGTCTTTAAATTTTTTCTACCATTGGAAAAAAAAAGAAAAACTTAAGAGAAGTTAGATCAAGGGATGATCACTTCCCTCTCTTTCACCTCGTCAGTTAGCAATATAAATGAACATGATCATAAAAACCTGTATATCGTAGATAAATAACTAACATAAACTTAAAGCAAGCTCTCTACTCAAATCGAAACCAAAAATAAACCCGCCAATGAGAACAGCTATCCAAATATACAGTGCTCGCGCTTCTACTTATAAAATTACTATAATGAATATTTTCGTCAGTTAAGTATCGTCGCTGTTCACGATATTTTCGGCGAGATTCGCACACACATATACATACATACAGGATGGTTTAAAAGAAGTAGGTCTCTGAAGCGTCATAATTTTAATGTGATTTGTTTTGTTTTTTCGTAACTGTGGATATTTTGAACTATCTATAAAACCCATTGTATTTGTATTCATACCGTTACCTACATAAAGGCTGTTATCAGAAAATACAGTGTCTCTGTATTTTTATAGTCATATTTCTTTTAGGCCACCTTGTATGTGTATGTATGTATATGTATATACACGATTAGAAATTATGGCCAATATTTAGTACAAGAATAGTGAACAGTTGTTTTTAAGTAATGAATCTGAACATTAATTAAGGCTAAATCGTAAAAATATATTTATGTTGAATCGTTGAGATATTTGGTTTCATTTCAATTTTCTTTTTAATTTTTAGAGATTATGTGGAACTAGCTTAGATGTACTTTTGATTCAATTTAAAAGTGGTCCGTTTCTATCAGCAATGTTTTTTAAGGCTATAAACTGCTTATTTGACATAAAACATGCTAAATGTAACTTCTTATATTGGTTTAACCAGCTACATATGAAGTGTAATGTAAATGATTAATAACTTTAATCAGGACTCTGAACTTGGGAAGCTACGATGTACAGTTGATGCTCTCAGTAAGCAGAGTACAGAAGCAGGATTTACGAAGATGGCGTTGCAGTCAATGCAAGCTGTTGAAAAAAGTATCAATGGAACAAACTTAGTCCGTCGTCACACTTTCAATGACACTAAAGAACATGGTGAGCTTTTAGCCATAATATACACAGAGACACAGGTATATGGCCATAAACTAAGATGAATCAAAATAGTTTAACTGAGCTGTCATTATAGGTACTATGAGCGATGTAATAATCTCAAATATGTATTTAATATTTGTGGAAAGTTTAAGCTTACCTTTAAATTTACTGGCTCGGTGAATGACGATAATATTAATATTAGAATTTATAAGGCCTCTATGATATTTCAATGGACCAGTTGTGATTTGCATGAATTTTGTTATTAAAAATTTAATTTCAGTAATATTTAGTAAAGACTTAGTCATATATTTTTATTATAGAAATGTTACATAGCTTAAAATATTTGAACATTAAGAATTTCATAGACATATGTGAATCAACCATCACCTTTACATTTTAGATCTGCAATGAAAAGTAAAACCAATAATGAATTGGATTATTGTATTTTAGCAGTTTTTAATATTTTTTATAACATTTTTATCAGCATTTACTGTATTATGTTTTAGCATTCATGTTTTTAACTCCTTAAGTTAAAAGTGATTTATCATTTTTCTAATGCGGGTTAATGGTAGTATTTCACTCAACAGGTTTACCAAAGCATTGCCTATAATAGTAATCAGAAGAGGTACTAATCCATGTGGCAATATTAGAATGATAGAGTATGATTATATCCAACACAAAATTAAAAATATGTTGAATTTCCAAAAACAGTGCATATTGAATGTTAATAGACATATTAAAGTAATAATCTGAATTCTTGTTAACAATATTACGTTTTTCTTTCTAACCGAGCTTGAAAATAACATCATAATTGAAGTTCACTTCATTGTTACTATTAATTTGATAATACATTAATTAGAAGTCATAGTTAAAATGTTTAGTATAAAATTCTTGAACAAAGTTTAAATGAAAATGTGTTTAGAGCTGTAAGGGTACAGATAAGTTTTCACTTATTTTTTTCTATTTTCTTGCTGGCTATTGCGATTTTTGAAATTTGGTTTATATTGTGTTTCTTCTTAATGGTGCTTAGCACTCCATGAACATAAGATTTCCAGACAGATGTCCACAGATTCTATGTCCAGTGTCAACTCAGTATCTAGTAGAAATTCTGGATTTGGGGATCAGTGTGATGGAAAATACAAGAAGAAGAAAAAAGGATGGGTAAGTCAAAAACCATTTAATTATATTTTAAAACTAATTGTGTTATAGTTTTAAAATAGTTTCTTTTGCATAGAACCTGTGTCTGCACTGCGTTTATTGTGATAAGGAGGTTTCAAATTTCTTACCCTCATATTGAGGGAACATTGTCAGAGCCTGGTTTCTTCTTTTTTTGCGAAACTTATCAAGAGTTGATGTTTTACATCCTTATTTCAACAATATGCCACAATAAAACACTGAAAGGCAGTACTTAATTTACAGATTGTATAATAAATTTCCACCTATACTAAAATGAAAAACACATTTGAACTTTTCCTTTTTTTTCAGTGAATGCTACAGAAAGATTTTGCACATTACTGACAGCCAAATGTTACACATAAAGCAAAGTATTTAATATACTAATGAAGTTGAAAAAGAGTTAATTGCTCTTAAAATATTTTGATACTTGAAATATGAAATTTTAATCTTTTTTTTTTTTTCCACAAACTTTGTCTTCAAAATAATCATAGCACAAGTTATTTTTAAATATGTAGCTGATTTTGTTGAAATTTAAAATAATAATTGAAATATAGCTTCATCAAAATAAAGATATATCTACAGACAGTTTTAAAACTTAGGGTAAGTAGAGAAATTAATATATTTTGCAATTACACTTGAAGACTTTTTATAAATGATAGTAATATATTGCCATAATTAATATAAAATTACAAAAAAACAATTTATTATGGAAAGCTATATGTGATCTTTATATTTTGATTATTGTACAATAAATATAATTTAATTTTTACTCTTTTATCTTAATAGTTACGAAGTTCTTTCAGCAAAGCTTTCTCTCGGAGTAAAAAAAATAAAAATGGCTCTGTTTCTGATGGGGAAGACTTGAAACAGTTTCTGTCTGATTCCTCTATTCCCTATTCCCCATCACTCAGATCTCAGCACAAACATAGTGAAATAAGAAGTCAACAAACAATTAAGTCATCACATTCATCATCTGTGTAAGTTAATATTTTGTTAAAACAAATTTTTTCTTAAAGAAACAAGTAAAAATTAAGTTGTTTTTTATTATTGAAATATAATATTGCTGTTAATGAAAGGTTTTCTGTTTTTGTTAACATTCAATAAGCTGTAAACATTTTCAAGCAGTATTGAATGAAATGTTTCTAGTAATAAAAATGTTCTGTAAATGTATTCTTTCTTGCTTGATTTGATACTGAAATTGTTGATAACACTACTGATCATCTTGTAATGCCAAATAATTTGTATCAATTCAGAATTGAATTTATAATAAATTTTATAACAATTTTATAGATACATATTGACATTAACATTATGAGGAAATTTTTGCTCTATTCCTTTGACTGATAATGGAATAAAAGATGTGAATAAGTTTTAACCTCATTTCATTGTTTAAGGTTGTATGTGGTACAGAAACTACAGTTTGTACAAGAGGTGTAAATAATTTTCTGAATACATTCCATATACAATATTGACTAGAAATATATTGAAGGTTAATTGCATTTTATAAGAATGCAGTTGTCAGAACTTCCAGATTGATCTTGCTCATTCTAATGGCTGTGATTGTGCATTAATACCCAATACCACAACTCCTGTTCTAGTAAACTATTGTGAAGACCAGCACGAGGTCAATCTTAAACCACACAGTTTCATAAACTTTCCACCAACATTCCTATGTATGTGGACATTACCATGGCTTCTAAGACCAGATTTTAAGCATACTAAAGGCACAAAAATCTGTCGGAGCTGTATGAGGAGGCTTGACAATTATGTGGTTAACTTGACAAGCATATGGTGAAATGAGATTGCTGGGATTCCATGTTTTATGAAAACAGCTCTGATTTTGAGGTGTATCTGGAAGCTTGTTAGTCTTTGTCAGTGTCAAGTTCTTGATTATTATCTTGTTAATAGTACCAGAAGTTATACCCATCTTTATCTCAGTAGTTTTTTGGATTGGAGATTTCGTCTTTCATAACCACAGTCTTCACTTTGTAGATAAAGGTATTACTCCAGATCAACTTTAAGTTTTACTTCTTATCCTGTTGCTGTATTAAACCTTTGTTGTGGAAGTTTTTCTGCTTCCATAGAGATCATTGAAGGGTCTTTTCTGTGCCCTTTATCTTTGTATCAATTAGCAATCTTATTATATGAATATCCAACTATAGGAAAGACTGTCAAATACAGCCATAAGGTTTTTCCAATGGTATTGTACTGTCAAATCCTTGGAAAATAGTCATGAATCAAATATATAAGTGCTAAACATGTTGCCTGTAGTGCCATGGCTTATATCAGTAACAATTCATCACTGCATTGCCATATGAAAATCATTCTCATAATGTACAGTTAACCTTCTTATAAATACTGATCTTTCAAACATTTGGGATGTCATAAGATTATTTTTAGACAAAACTTCTACATTTGTTAGAAGCATTCATTTCAAGCTTATTTTCACAGTTTATATGAGAAAGAATATGACAGATCAACAGAGCTGATTAACACTTTGAAAAAACAATTGAGAGAGAAGGAAATGGTGATTACAGATATTCGTCTGGAGACTCTAACATCTGCTCAGCAGCTGGAAGCATTAAAAGAAACTGTAAAAAATAATGCAGGTATTTAGCTATAGCATACTGTGTTACATTTCATTCAGTGTCATGTTAACTTGATGGAGACTAAATATGTAGAATTGGCAAAGTAACAAAACTTTATATAGCTGAAATTTTGAAGGTTTTTGGTGTCTTTCCAATTCTATTTTTGTGTAATTAATGTTATAAAGCCCATGAAAGTATATTCAAATTACAACAAATATCCAAAATTCTCCTGTCAGGTCAGTAAACTTTGCAAAAACATTTTTTGACATAGTATTTGCAAAATATAGTAAGTCCAAGTAAAATATTTTGTTCTTGCTTAGCTCTAAAAGTTGAATTTCAGCTGGTATTGCACTATCAAATCTTTGGGAATTCAACAAAATATACAGAGTGAGGCAAAAGCTGCTATACAATTGGCACCTTATAGTTGGTACTAAAGAAAATATTGCAAATAAAGTGGAAGCAAATCTCATATCCGTAGAAATGCATCACTGCATTCAATAGGAGGAAGTAGAAATAAAAAGAATTGATTTGATTTATCAGATAAATTTTGTGTTTTATTTAATCCTTACAATATTGAACAAAGTTTGTAAAATCTCAATTGAGATTTTAGTTTTTTCTCTTAGGAAAAATACTTTTTTAATAATTTCTTAATAGATATGAATCTAAAGTTCTACTTTTTTGTGAATGAATTTTGTAGATAAAAAAACTAACAGTTGTTACTTAAAGATTACTGCCCTAGAATTAGTAACTTAAGTATATATGAATTTGAAAGAATAAGATATCCAGATTATGAATTTATTACTACTTTGAATCTTATTAAATGAACTCCACTTGTATAAGTATGGCCTGATGACTAATTTTTTTGATGTATCATATTTTATTAGAATGAAATGGTGATATTGAAGCAAGAGAACAGTCGGCTACATAAGCTAGTATCTACTAAGTGTTATGCATCTTCTCAGAGTTCCTTACCTCAAGAAAATAGTGTTGAAAACTTGAAGAAGAGATTAAGTGCCTCATCACATTCAGAATCACCTAGTGTAGGTAAGGTGACTATTTTTCTTTTAATGTTTGCAAAACTGACAGAATTTTTTAATACATTACAGTAATAAATATAATATGACCATCATTATTTACATGTCCCACATTCCACCGTGATGGTTTTCTGAAGGAGCTCATTGTATGATACAACATAATAAGCTTACTCTGGGGTAGAAACTTTTATGATCACTTTATCCTAATTATTAATTTGTTTTTTGTTATGAGAGAGTAATTAGCTTATATCTTATGTATTGGCTACTATTCTCTTGCTGTCTATGGGAAATTCTGAGAAGGATTTCTCTCCACTATTCTATTTGACAGTGCCCTAAATTCATAGTTGTTGTTTTGAAAAATCAGAATAGCAAAACCATGATCGATATCATATTGAAACAGAGAAAATTCCCATGCCTATGAGCATGAGCCCCGAATCTTTTAAGTACATAGCAATGTCTCTGTTGCTCTCTGTGGTGGTTGGGGCTAGGAATCGACCTTGGGTCTTCTTATTAGAAGAGCTATTATGCTATCTACATGTCTGAGGTCTACCTTCATTAGGACTGGAGTTAACTACCCATTTTAGTGGTTTTATTATTGTCTGTGCTAGGTTAATTTAGTATGTGTAATCAGTTAGGAAGAATGTAAAAGGTTTCTTTTTTCGTTCAGTTTTTCTCCTGTTTGGCTCATATCCCATTATTTTAGAATTATATAATTTTATTGTACAATCTGTTACTTTGGCATGATGAGCTGTTGCATAGAGATTAGTATTACAAAGGCTTTTATGTCTGTTACATTACTAAACCATGAGATTTGTTGGCCTTTCTGTTTCTCCAACATACTGGAGTCCACACTCGTAAAGGATATTGCAAATGGTTATTTACTTACTAATGGGTATTCAGGTAGTTAGGTTTGTACTAATTGCAAACTTATTCTGTTGTGGCTTCTGAATACTTTTATA